AAACCTAGTCACACACACACCACTCCACTACACATGTATCTAAACCTAGTCACACACAACACACACACCACTCCACTAAATGAATGTACACTCAAACACCCACACTCCACTCCCCATACTGTATGCCCTGTGAAGTCGGCCACGCTCTTGCCCTCGGTGATGTCCCAGATCTTGATTAACCCGTCCTTACCACCCGTGCCTACCAGCAGACCATCAGGATGGATCTTTGCCGCGTGCACTTCACTGTTATCCGGCACTTTATACTGTGCGTATGTGGTACCTGATACCGCATCTGATATGGCCCAGGTGCCGTCTAACGAACCCGTCACCACCACATTGCCGGCAGGGTTGATGGCCAAGCAACTCACGCCCTTGCTGTGGCAGCTAATAGTGCTTACACCCGCACTCTCACCCAGTCCATTGATCTTGACCGTACCGTCCGCAGAGGCACTATACACCACACTGCCACTAGAGTTCCAGGCAACCTCTGTGATCTTCTTGGTGTGGTCGCTGAACGTGTGCACGGCCTTTTCGGCTTCGCGATCGTACACGACCACCTTCTTATCTACCCCTCCGGTGAGTAGCAGATTACTGTCCGTGGGATGCAAGGCCAGGCTTGTAACACCCTTGCTGGATGCTGAGTGTATTGATGTAAGACTTTGTACCAGCTTCATATTGCCAATGTCCTCTGTTTTAGCTAGATTGGCACCCTTTTTACGTTTTTTACGCTTACCGACCAGCTCCGAGGCCGTGGCTCGGATCTGCTCGAGCACCTCCTCGGGCATGCCGTTCTGTGTCGCGTGTGCGTTTACGTTTTCGCCGCCATCGGTTTCCATAGCAACACCCTCACCGGCACTATTAGCTTGCTTGTCCGCCTCCGCAATGTGCATAGCATTACTCACGCTGATCTCTTGCAACGCATTACGTGCTTCGTTTCTCTCTGTAGTTAGACGGGCAATCACCCTGCATGCAGCATCGTGTTGGTACAGTGAATGCGATAGTTCCTGACGGGTCTCGTGTAGACTCTTCTTGAGCTGGTGCATCTCTAACAGTACTGCATCCCACTCGTCCTGCATAGTCTTAATCAGCGACGGTACGCTAGTGATAGACGCGGGGGCGGGTTTTAAAGGTGTAGGTAAGTTCATATCAATTAGATCCTCCGTTGTACACGCTTTACCAGAAGACGGATCTTTTCCATGCTCAGCAATGTATTTTTCAACCAGTTGGCGTTCGTATACACTGCCAGATACCTTGTTGAGTACCGGATGTACCGGCACGGTGTTGGAGATGGCACAGAACACACTCATGATTGCATGCGACGATCAGTTTTCGCACACGCGTTCGTTGTAGAATGTGAAGTGGCCGTATGTATGTGTGTACGTGTACGTATATGCGTATGTATGTATGCCTATAATATGTGCGTGTGCGTGAGTTGATACTTCTCTACGTATATATTTAAGTGTTCCAGAGGGTGTATATGCCGGTGTTTATTTTAATTGTTGAAATTCACAAACGCAGCGCAGAGAAGAGAGACAAGCTTTTCCCGTTGTAGCCGTTTGCAGGTGGACGGTAACACGCTATGTCGTAAACTCAATAAATGTTTTAAAGACCAGTCGAGAAAATAGTCGTTTCACAAATTTACGACACAGACTGAAAAATTATGTCTGATATACAAGGGAAACCCTACAACCCTGTCTCTCCTTAACCTCAAATCGAAATTTATAACTATATATAAATATTTAATGGGAACTTCCATACATTTTACTTTAAATGCACATCTATACATGCATATATGGCATGCATATATGTCACGCATACATGTATATATTAGCTGTGAATATACGGCTCAGCGCAATGATAGGACCTGGAAAGTACCTTGTTTTGATCTGGTCATAAAGGCAATCACTCCGCGGCTATCCTCGAATAGGCTATAGGTCCCCTGCCATAAAACATAGGGCGTATGTGCATGTAGTAGTGTCGACTACACAGAATATCTCAAATGTATTGGGGATATGGCAAGAGGTTAGTCTGTCTTATCAATTGCATCGTCAGCCTTCTCTATTCTTTGGGGAAAAGCAACCCGTATCTGCACAAAAAATTGGAGGCGCCAATAAACTTCACACTCAATTTTTTATAGGAGCCTCCTGCGTATGTAATGAGTGTGTAATTTGGCACTATTTAACGAGTTGTTTTAACTGTGTCAGTAATATGGCTGCATGCTGAGACACCCCATCGTTTACAAATCCAGCCTTCTCCACTATCTGGGCGTGACAGTCCTATTGTTATGAGATCGGGCTGTTGTGTTTTCTTTCTTTCATTGTAGTCAGTGCGTACGTGGAGTTATTAACTAGCCGTCTGCAACGTGCTAGAGACATGGAGGCTAAAGAATCTTATCACTTGCATTGCTCAACTCTCTATACTATTTGGGATATATGTTATGTATAATTTAGAAAACGAAGATGCGCATGGATCCCTCATAAGTTGTTTGCCGGGTATTCATTCATACGTTTATGTCAATTGGGTGCCGCACATCATACCACATGCGATATGTATAACTGCAAGGCTACAGAGATACTTTGTTTGGAAGCAGAGAACGTTTTACTTTTATTATCTTGATATTTAGAGATACTTTGTTTGGAAACAGTGAACGTTTTACTTTTATTATCTTGATATTTAGAGATACCTTGTTTGGAAACAGAGAACGTTTAACTTTTGTTATCTTGATATTTAGATATATTGGTTGGAAACAGAGAACGTTTAACTTTTGTTATCTTGATATTTTGAATCTCCTATACACACGACGCTTATGTGCACTAGTGTTGCCCGTGGTGGCTCCAATTGTAGTGGGGGTTGCTGCTTTACCTCAAACTTATCGAGTGGCAAGTATAAGGGACGCACCTCCCTGGTATGGGAAAAGTGCAACCTCTGCAAGCGAGTATTGATCAGAAAAGACCTTTTCAGTGAATAGCGCGTTCACTTTGCAGATACTTATTGCAGTTCATCTAAGTGTGCAACTATGAGTCGCCCCTCTTCTCCTCTCTCTCCGGCAGTTCGGTACCTCGTGTCTATGCTTCACAGCGTATTCATCCACTACACTGCCGTACATGTGTATAACCCAATGCAGTTTGGCTAAGGTTGTACACACATATGCTTCACCCACTCTGTCGCTATATACAACCGGATATAGTACATCTATAGTGTGCAAGTACAAGTCACTGCCCAGTCCGTCGCCTTGCGATGTCCCTCTACCAATCGCTATGCAATGAACTCTGTTGCTGCTCAAAGGTAGCCGGTGCAACCTCGTCGCACGGTCGCACCCAGCCGTAGCTATACCTGTCCTTCCTGTAGAGGTGAAAAAGACTATACCTGTCCTTCTATAGAGGTGAAAAGGACTATACCTGTCATTCTATAGAGGTGAAAAGGACTATACTTGTCCTTCTACAGAGGTGAAAAGAACTATACCTGTCCTTTAATAGAGGTGAAAAGGACTCTCAGGGACCTATGCCTTGCACATGGGGAAACGCCTCTCCGATGCCTGCAACTAGAATGATAGCAAGCACAAGTCAGCTGGTATCTGGTGATGCTGAAGCGATAGCGTCATAACCAATCAATGCACTGTTTGTGGTGACGTTTGTATTACTAGCTCGCCTTAGTAGTCGCAGCTGCACGAACGCTTACGCCCTTTCCAGCCAAGCCCGGTCTGATTGGTCAGCGGCAAACCTTCAGTCATTGCGATGAATCAGTTTTATCCTTCCGTTGTTCTTATTGGTCCATTTTAACCCACGCACGATCTTTCGCCGTGGCTTGTGGTCGGTGCGGTGTCGGGTCTGTACCCGACTGCTTGGTGCCCCCGTCTGTTGCAGCAGTGATTGGTTCAGATGGCGTCAGGCTTCGCGTTCTTGATGTTGTCAACTGTGTGCGTGTTGGCATCGAAGCCGCACGGGAGAAACAGCGTAGTATACGAATTAGCTGAGTATAGATACATCCCACGAGGTTGCAATATGAGTCAGCTGAGTATAGATACATCCCGCGAGGTTGCAATATGAATCAGCCGAGCATAGATACATCCCACAAGGTTGCACCTCTCATACAGAGACTGGTGACATAGCAAGCGAGTACGGTGTAGTCTATGGAGGCTATGACATGAAAGATGGAGGTGAAACGTATGCCGCTTTCCAAACTCCAAACAGCACCAGAGAAACACCCTGATAGCCCGAACCCTGATAACCCTATGTGTACGATAAAAACCACCTGCGCAGAGGTTGAATGCAAGAACAAGAGCGCCCTCAGGGCTTGCCGACAGGGACAGGAGGTCGTGTAATGCGAGCGGCTCGGGGTGATACGCATAGCACTTACCTATCCAGGGATGGCGCAGCACATTCTCTAGCTCAATGCGATCCTTTGGCGAATGAACGAGCAGCTACACATGGGGAAGTAGGCGGTAAGAAGTAGGTACACATAGGGAGGTAGGTGTTGAGTAAGAAGTAGGTACACATAGGGAGGTAGGTGTTAAGTAAGAAGTAGGTACACATAGGGAGGTAGGTGTTAAGTAAGAAGTAGGTACACATAGGGTGGTAGGTGTTAAGTAAGAGGTAGATACACATAGGGAGGTAGGTGTTAAGAAAGAGGTAGCTACACATAGGGAGGTGGGTGTTAAGTAAGAGGTAGCTACACATAGGGAGGTAGGTGTTAAGTAAGAAGTAGGTACACAAAGGGAGGTGGGTGTTAAGTAAGAGGTAGCTACACATAGGGAGGTGGGCGTTCAGGAAGAAGTAGCTACACATAGGGAGGTAGGTGTTGAGTAAGAAGCAGCTATACATAGGGAGGTGGGTGTTGAGTAAGAAGTAGGTACACATAGGGAGGTAGGTTCGTGTACCGAGCTGTGTACAAGGTCACTTTACAATTACACTTACACCCAAAGCACACATACCGTGACAAGGAATCTGGAGTAGAGCTGAATAACTCGAGCCAAAAAGGATAGCACACGCACACACAACATGCACATCGACTAGTGTGTATACGCGGAAAACTTAAGCTTATATTGATATAGGAAACGCACAAAACGATAATATATAGCACAAACAAGTCACAGGTCACGTATGAGTCTGTAAGTATCCGGTCTGGACCACAGGAAGAGAGAGAGAGAGTATAGAAGTCGTTGTTGACTATTGGGTGTAAACTTTCAACTCGAGCTTGTATTGATGCCCATAACACACACAATGTTCACACACACGCACACAAAGTGCACACACACACACACAACGTGCACACACACACATAAAACATGCACACGCATACACTAAAACGTGCACAGACCCACAACACGTGCACACACACATACACACACAAACGTATATAGAGTTCGGCACCTTTCGTATCAAGTCGCGTGCTCCGTCGGACACTCCGTCGGGAAACTGCAGATCAACCTTGCTGATGCGAGAGTAGGTTGCACGGTGACCCTGCCCAGCAGACAAGCAAATGTGTGTGAGAGAGAGAGTGAGAGAGAGTGAGGCAAACAAGCACGCGTGTGTGTGAGAGTGAGAGTGAGTGAGGCAAACAAGCACGTGTGTGAGAGAAAGAGTGAGAGTGAGGCAAACAAGCACGTGTGTGTGAGAGAGAGTGAGGCAAACAAGCACGTGTGAGAGTGAGTGAGAGT